GTCATTATTCTAGAACATTCCTATTTGTCGGTATATAAGTCGATCAGTTTAAACCCGGGAAATTCTATTTTACGCTGTTTAAGTCATGATAATACGATAATCGGATATTACGATAAATTCCTGCTTTTGATGAATTTCATCAAAATTTGACGGAAGCCCCCTTTGTTGCTAAAAGATCGTATCTAGTTATTATTCTTTTTTCTTCTTATTTCTTCCCCGGGGTTTTTTTTAATGTTTAGAAAGTGTTCACCAAACTAACTTAAAACCTTTTTAGGGTTACTAGGCATGTTGTGTAGATGTGCCGAACGAAGGTCATTTTCGGCATTTGCATGCACGTGGGGGCGTGAATAAGAAAATGACTGTTATATTTAATATGGTTGTAACTTTTATATTTTTTGATAAAATATTTTGAAACTCATTATATAAAGATAAATAAGTTGTGTAGATAAAAAGACATGGTCAAATTTGCATGAACTCACGCGCATGCACGTGCGCTTTGCTCTGATTGGCTAAACAGAAATCTTAAATCTTTTTTGTTTTATGATGAAATGCTTTGAAATTTACAACATAGACATAAGGATGTACTACAATATAATTTATAAAATTTTTCATGAAATCACGCGCATGCACGTGGGTGCAATTGATTGGCTGAAACTTTAAATAAGTATAACTCCCTTGGTTTTCAACCAAACAGCATGGGATTTAGAACATAGATAGACATAGAGGACTCCTACAGGATGGTATGGTCACCATTCACATGCATGCACGAGCGTGCACGTGCGCTTTGCTCTGATTGGCTGAAACAAAAATCTCAATATCTTTTCTGTTTTTTTACAAAATGCTTTGAAATTTAAAACTTATGCAAACTTTTAAATGTCCTACAAAATGATATATAACAATTGTCAGGAAAGCACGCGCATGCACGTGAACTGCAATCTGATTGGCTTAAACTTTAAATGGCTATAACTCCCTTGTTTTTCAACCAAACAAGATGGGATTTAGAACATAGACAGACATAACGGACTAATACAAGAAGGCATGGTCATCATGCACATGCATGCACGTGCGTGCAGGCGCGCTTTGCTCTGATTGGCTGAATTAAAAAAACCCAATATCTATTTCGTTTTTTGAAATGCTATGAAATCTTAAACATGGGAGATTAAATCTCCCAAAATATGATATATAACAATTTTCATAAATAATGTGCATGCACGTGCGCTGCTATCTGATTGGCTTAAACTTTAAATGGCTGTAACTCCCTTGTTTTTCAACCAATCGGGATGGGATTTGGTCCATACACAACATAATAATTCCTAAAAGGGATTCATATGCACATGATGAGGAGTGCACGGTTTAGAAAATTTAAAAAATACAATTGAATAATAGTTTTACATGTTTTTGGGATTAAATGCTTCAATATTTAGTAAATCAAGATTTTAAATGGTGTAGACTAATGATTGTCATTATGTTTATGCATTTCATGAAAGTGTACAAAAAAATTTAAATATACTTATATACTTTTGGGAAAACATTGTTAAATTTTAAAATGCAAATTTTCCCTTATTTAAATAAAGCTTACAGGGAATATGGCATGCAAAGGGATTTGGGGGGTTTTTTGGGGGCATCTGTAACTTGTTACAATAAGCACTAGTTAAGGTTTCCTCTTCAGCGGAAGACCTTCTTGTTATTCTTAGGTTTTTTTTTTCACTTTTATTATTATTATTTTTTTTTTTTCTTACCGTTTTTGTGAGGTTTTCCCAAAAAGGTGATATTTCCATGAAACTTTCAGGACTTATGTGAATACTTAATTTGCGTTTTTTTCTGTTTTGATGACGTCACTTCCGGTGGAGTTATCAGCCCTTTTATTTTTTTTTGAGGGTGGGTTTTTCCCCATGATTTCTCCTAAACGGATTTAGATAGACGCTTGATACTTTCAGGTATGGTAGACCATGTCTGTAGATTTGCGGAATGTTTTTTTTTTTATCAAGGCCGCACGTCGGCGCTCGCTATGGCCCAAAAAAGTCTTTTGCGAATTTCAAATTTTTTAACACGTTTTCTACGATATCTTTTATTTAAATATTTTGTTAAAACAAAAAACAAAAAAGGTTTGAATTTTAAGATCTTTCAAATATATCGAAAAGGGCGGCCCCTAAAAATTAAAGGGCCCAGAGGGGCCAATTTTTTTTTTATTATATCTCAAAAAGTATTGAGAATTTGTAATACATCAAAAAGAAATTGTTAAAATGTCAGGCTTAATCTATTGGGTTGTCAAAATAGTGGAGTCACTTCCGGCCCAACCGGGAATAGTCTCACGATTTTTGCCGCTCTTGACAAGTTTTGGGGGAATATATGTCTCTGGGGCAAAAAAACCTCCCTCGTCGTCACTTCCGGTCAAACCCGGGAAATAGCAAAAATGGCTTATTTTTGCATTGATTTACATTGATTTAAGGATTCAAAGCATTTTTAGGCGTTATTTTATATTTTTGTTGAAAATAAGCTACTTCCGGGAAAAAGGGCGGAAGACCTACTCGTTGCTTTGCAACGAGCTTTGTCTAGTTATTATTATTATTATTATTTTTCTTCTTCCTGGGAAAATTTTGTCCACAGTGACTTGTAAATACACATCCACTAAGGTAAAATGTTTTTAGGGGCAGTAGAAAGTTAGTAATTTTCCAAAATATTTTTCCCCACGCTTGCAAAGGCGCACTAACACGAAAAATGACCAATATAATGGATATTGCTGTAACTTTTCTTTTTCTTGATGAATTTTTTTGAAACTCATAATGTAAGGATACATTAGTAGTATAGACAAGATGGCATGGTCAAAATAGCAAGATCTCACGCGCATGCACGTGCGCTTCGCTCTATTGGCTGAAACTAAGTCTCAATATTTTTTTGTTTCTTGTCATAATCTTTTGAAATTTTTAACATAGTCCTACATTATGAAGATCTACAGCATGATATATAAAAATTTTCATGAAAGCATGCGCATGCGCGCGTGCTGCAATCTGATTGGCTGAAACTTTAAATGGCTATATCTCCTTCGTTTTTTGACGAAATGCTTTGAAATTTAAAACGTTCGTAGTAGACTAGGATATCCTAAAATATGATATAGAAAAAAATCATGAAATCATGCGCATACACGTGTGCTGCAATCTGATTGGCTGAAACCTTATATGGCTATATCTCCTTTTTGACGAAATGTTTCGAATTTTAAAATATAGTCATTTATTTAGATATCCTTCAAAATACTGATAAATGTATATATTTGACCGGTCAGCAGGGGATGCTCACTCCTCCATGGCACCTGATCCCATCTCTGATGTTTCGAAGGTCCATGTTTGCTCTGCTCCTATTTTGTATTTTTATGGACTTTGATATTGAATACTGTTCGTTATCTTCGTATCCCTCTTATAGCTTAGGTTTATTTATTGTATATAGAGAACTCTGTTGTGAAACATCTAGGAAATGGTAAGTTGCCATCTATCAAGTATGATATAAGAAAAACATTTACTACTCCCTTTTGTTTTTGTTGACATTACAAATTCATTGTTTCGATTTTTGACATATATTGTGCATTGTATTGTAGCTTTGTTTTGTATATATTAACATTGTTCTGTATTAAATACTGCAATCTGTAAAAATACATGTAATTTGTGATAAACTTAGTTTAATAAATATTAAAATTGAACCAAATCCCTTGTCAAAGCCATTTTTGTTTTTATAAAATAAATACAAATGGATGAAGATCCGAAGGAGCCTTTTTAAAAATGGTAGGGCGCAGTCTCCACAAAAAATACGAGTTTGGAAAAAGCAACAATTGACTTTAAAATGTACATTGATTATATTGAATTTTGATACAAATGATACTACTGACAACATTTATTTTCCCTTCTGTCGGTGTCAAAAGAAGAAAATTAAGCGTACAGATTGTTCTAAAATTATCAATAAAATACACCTACCATTTATTATGCATTTCCCAAACACATAATAATTATAAAACTTAAAATGAATTATCCAACTTTTATATTTATTGTCTACATTATACAATTAGACTTCCAATAAGAGGAAGAGAAAAATATATTTTCTTCTTTGTATACTATTAAATCAAACTGTTTTAAACAATTATAACTAGTAGTTTAGTAATTGTGCTCTATGATTATCTATTACTTTCTGAACTTGGATTTGTTTAGGTTATATTTAAAATTGAGAGCGCAATTTTTTTAGTTTACACATTCACTTGAAAAAAATTTGCTTCTGTTCCTTTAAATACTATTTAAATAATTTAATAACTTTTTTATGTTTTAAGAAAAATTTACATCTCTCAATGTGATTTGCTAACAACAACAATTAAGTAAAACATTCCTTATTATAAATAAAATCAAGTTTTACATTTATTAAGAACATTTTTAAATGCCTTCTAATATAAATGTCCATTTAAAAATAAAACTTTGGGCGTAAATAATAAGTATGACAAAATGCTACATTTTTGTTCAATTTTCTTCTTTCACCATGGACGTTCTGGGTGGTCTTTAAACCTAAAAAAATTATTTTAACGAAAATTAAAAAAAATTAAATTAAAAAATCATGCATATAAATCTATGTCATATTTTTATTGCAGTTACCCAAAATTACATTATCACTAACGCAGACCTCGAGTAAATACTATTTTTAGATAAGGAAAAATTAAAATTAATTTTTTATGTCAGTTATATTGCAAAAAGATATATAATTTTATGCTAGGTAATATATACAACTCACATAGCTGCGACATCAAAGTAACGTCGTTTTGTTTTTATCTTATCGATATATTACATTTCGTCTTTGGATAGAGAAAAATCGAAAACCTACAAAGCACAATGATAGATATAGTATTCTGTAGTTACATATGTAAGTATTGAGCAAACAATTTTAAATAAAAATATTAAGTAATATATTTTATGAAATTAAATAAATTACGTTTGTCACATTTTTCTTCCCAACTCCTCCTACATTTTAAAAAGTAGCTTAATCATCTTTTGGGAGATGGTTGGTGGGGTCAGAGAGTGCAGTGGTTTTGGGAATTTTTTTTCCCCGGGGGGGAAAAGGGGGGTCAAAAAAGACGTTTTTTATGCAAAAAGCCCCGTCTTCCCTGAACCCCTTTCTACATTTTTTTTAAGTAACCAGTTTTTGGGAGATGGTTGGGGGGGTCATGTAATGTGCAGAAAGTTTTTAATTTTATTTTGCCCCAGGGTAAATGGGGTTGAAAAATACTTTTTTTAAGAAAAAAGTCCGCTTCCCTGAACTCCTCTTACATTTTATTCAGCAGCCTAATCATTTTTTTGGAAGAGGGTTTTGGGGGGGTCATGAGATGTGCAGTAAGGTTTTGGAATTTTATTTTCCCCCGGGGGGTAAATGGGGTCAAAATATTTTTTTTAAGAAAAAAGCTCCGTCTTCCCTAACTTTTACATTTTATTCAGCAGCCTAATCATCTTTTGGGAGATGGTTGGGGGTTATGTAATGTGCATAGGTTTAAATTTTGATTTTCCCCGGGGGAAAATGGGTTTAAAAATACGTTTTTTATGCAAAAGCCCCGTTTCCAATTTTTTTTTACCAGCAGCCTAATCATCTTTTGGGAGATGGTTGGTGGGGTCAGGGAATGTGTAGTAAGTTTTGAATTTTTGATTTTCCCCGGGGGAAAGGGGGCAAAATTATTTTTTTTATGTAACCCGTCCCCTGAACTCCTCTTACATTTTATTCAGCAGCCTAATCATCTTTTGGGAGAGGGTTTGGGGGGTTATGAATGTGCAGTTAGGTTTCAAATTTTGATTTTGCCCGGGGGTCAAATGGGGGTGAAAAATGATTTTTTTATGGAAAAAGCCCTGTCTTCCCTAAACTCCTTTTTCGTTTTAAACAGTGGTTTTACCCTTTTAGGGGTTCACTTTTTTTAAATTTTTGTTAAAACATCAAGGTAAAGGGGGAAAAAAATCATAGCATGTTGGGAAACATCTTGTTATGGGTAATGTTCACTTGAAATGTAAAAGTTAATTCTTCTCAATAAAAAGGAAATACAACATTAATAAAAACTAAGTTAAACTTCAAGGTCAAGGCACAAGTAAAAAAGTCATGAAATTTTTGGAAAGGTCTTATCACTAATATAATGCCCTTTCATTTATCTTTCAAAATGATTAATTCAAAGCAATTAATTTGTTTATAAAATTAGGCAAACTTCAAGGCCATGGGTAATAAAAATCATAGTGTATTTAGAATGGTATTGTCCCATTTAAACAATAACATGTTTTATAAAACCTGTCTCTTCTATTAAAAATTACGACCATGAGGACCAATTGCAAGGTTAAATTTATTGTGACAGATGGGCAGATTACAAACAAATGAGATTTAATGTCCCCTACCTTAGCAAAAAGGGGGGACAAAAAATGTCTTTGCTGTTCTTAAAGAAGATTTATTTTGGGAAAAGTCCCCTGCATATTTAAATGTAAATTGGTTGAAATTGGCCCAGTGGTTCTTAAGAAGTTAATGTGAAAAGTTTGAACAAAAATTTGACAAAAAATAGTAATTTCAGAAAACAGTATGCTTATAAATAGTTAATAAAGGTCTTTGGGTAGAAAAAATTAACTAAACGGGTATATCTAAACTGGTATATCTAATTATCCCCAGACTTAGTATATTTTAATACACAACCTTTTCAACCTTATCATAATTATTTTTTAAAATTTATTACCATGTCTCATTAAGGGAGAACTAAGATATGACCAGATGTATATCTGTTGAATAAAAAATATGTACATGTATACTGTGTTTTTTAGTAATTTGTTTGTTTGTTGTGACAGCAACTGTTATGGCAGCTTTTGGAAAAAGTTAATTTTTCTCAAATGAAATTTAAACCCCAAGGTCAAGGTCAAAGGGTAAAATTGTTGGTATAAAAGGGAAAGTTTTGTCACAAGGAATACACATGTGAAAAAAGAGAGAAATCCCTGAACCCTCACCTTTTAAAAATTATTGCCAAGGTTAAAGTTAAATTGGGTTCAACTCTAAGGTCTAGATAAAAATAATTAACCTTTGAAAGTTCACAATGATTACACATGTTAGAGCATGAAGTCCTAGCACCACCTGTTCAAAACTTAGGCCAAGTTTAAGGTTTTTTTCTTGTAAAAGTGGGTAATTAAGGTAAAGATAAGAGGTCAAAATTGGTGGTACCCATTAAAAGATTTTGCCAAAAGAAATTTACCTATGAAATATTGAAGTCATGTGTATAGCCCAATCCACTTAAAACTTATGAGCAAGGTTAAATTTCTGTGGACAAAAAAATACAAAAAAAGGGAAACAAAATAGTATATATAGTCAAATGAAAAAATTTTCTACTATTATGGAGTCATAAGATCCATTGTCATTTCGGGTAAAGGAGTCAGTGGCTAGGGAGTAGACCCCCCCCCCCCCCTGAAAGCATTATTTAAATAAGACTATGTACTGTAGAGAATAAAAATGACTTTGGACATCCTCCCCCTTAGAAAACAGGGACTCCACCATCATTGTTATTATTATTATTTTTTATTTGCTTCTCGGGAAAATTTTGGGGCTATTTTTTTGACTGAGGTGTCCCCCCCCCCCCTTTCTGAAAAAAAAAATTCTGGATCTGCCCTGTATATACTAATTCCCAAGGGAGAAACTTGACAATGTGAAATTTTCACTGTGGCATGCATGATCTTTGACCCTTTTTGAACTTCAACCTAACCATTTGCATTTATTTTTTTTTATGCAATCTATACTAAATCTTGTACTTACCGAATGTCATAGGTCGTGACAACGAATTCATGAAATATAATCCATATAATCCAATTAAAACACAAATGATTTTAATGACCACACGCATGTCGCATACATGTTTAAATAATCCACCCAAAACCCTTTGCATTCCGTTGCCAATAATCGGCCATGTCCAAGGTAACAAAAAGATAATGGGTGACGCAAACCCAATGTGAATGTAGAAAATAAGATGTTCACACGAAAAACTGTTTAGTACAAAAAAATTTCAAAAACATATAAAAAAAATAGTTTTAACATAACTTTGCCATCTAGGTTATTTTTAAAAAATGTGAGAGTAGAGTGTGTGTGTGTGTGGGGGGGGGGGGGGGGGAGAGATAGGCATTGACAAATTAATTGGGTTGTATTTTCAAGGGGTTTTTTTACCAATTCAGTTTAAATTTTTTAAAATTCATAAAAAAGCTTTTATAAAATAATATGTCTTGAGAAAGTAAATTTAAAAAGTTCCAAATTATGGGCAAAATATTCATCTGAATCTAATTAAAATTTACTTCAATCATTAATTAAATTCTGTTATTTCAGACTGGTAATGAATTAAGTATTCAAAAACATATGGGGCTATAATTATGGCACCTGAAAATTTTATGTTCAATTTGACAAAAGCGGTGAAATTTATAAATTAAATATTTTCCCTTTGGGAAACCCAAATGAAGGAGTGTGTATTGAGAGGCAAACACCATAGTGCGGGTATTACTGTCTCATGACAGCATCTAGTTTGGTATTTTATACCATAAATAATTTTTCAGTAAAAGGAGAATTGAAATAAATTATAAAATTTAATTCAAGCGTTCTGAATATGTTGCTGAAATAATTTATGCCCACAGGCACCTGACGTTACTTATTTTTTTTTTAATAAAAAAAATTATACCCTTACCTAGGCACCTGACGTTATTTTTTTTCTTTTAAAAAAAAAAAATTATACCCTTCCTTTTGGTTACCAAACGCGCCCCTTTGAATTTTTTTTGGGCCACCACTCGCAAGTTTTGCGCCAAAACGGAATACAAGAAAATTTTTCATCCTCTCCGTGTAGCGCAGGCCCTTTAAAACATTTTCCCACCTTTTCAACCCAAATCACCTTTTCTTTGAAATTTAAATTTAAAATTTTCCCTCGTTTTCTATCTACTGCTTCAGATATGCAAAAAATTCCCAAAAGGGGGCCGGAAGTTTACATCATTATGTTAAGGGGAAATTTCCCCTGATGAATCTGATTGGTTAACATAATTTTTATTGAAACAGAAAAAAGCTTTGCGGGAAAACTTGCAGGCTTACCATGCTTACCAAAGAACAGTCGAAGGCATTAAATTTTAATTAAAAGGGGGCATAGTTGTGTAATTTTGGGGAGGGGGGGACTGGAAATATTTAATAAAGGAAATGTTAAAAAATTCAAAAAAAGTTTTAAGCTAGGGGGTTTGGGGCACAAAATTAAGGAAACACACCACCAGGGTAGGAAAAAATTTTAAAACCAGATTATTAAAACCCAAAAAAACCAAACAATTAAAAATGCACTTTTTACATAGAGAAATATCCATGATCAGTGGGAAAAATTTTTTGAGAAGGTGTGTATAACTTTGTTTGAGAAAATGAGAATTTTGCCATAAATATTACCCTGTTTTTTTTTAAAAAGTGAATTATATTAGCATTACCAAGGAACACCAAAAATATTAACTGTTAGGGGAGGGTTTAAAACCCCGTTCCATTTTGTTTTTACTAGAAAGTTTTCCGGTTTACGGGAGAAAGGTAAAACATCATATTGAGTTACTAGGCCATGTCTATCGCTTAGATAACCTTACAAAATTTATGAGAGCTCTTGGAATAATCTAGTTTTATAAAATGTTTGCACCACATCCGTGTGAAATTAAGTGCACATTTGTTTATGTTGAGGAGGTACTGTTTACATATAAATACTAAAGTAGGTAGGCCTAATAGACGAATTTCACATTCCTTAGAGTTATCTCATTTTTCCCACTTTGTCCCTTGTAAGTTACCTGTTAATATTTTTAATCTTCAAACGATATTGGACAATTAC